TATTCATCTTTCTTTTCTGGGCTACCTACCTATTACTGTAGAATGTGACGATCAAATTTCAGAACTATAGAACTCTCTCAAAAAAACTGCCATTGTCATTCGCATTTCGAGGCAAAGAAAGTCACACAAATCGCAAAAATAATGCTACTCCTTTCTGAGCTTGCCGCGTCGAAGCATAGAAGCTCGTGACACTTTTTTCTCGATTCTTTATTCGTGCTCACATTGAACTTCCAGCAAGTTGACTTCGGATAGCGCAAGCATTGTTGTTATTATGCCAACCGAAGTGAATATTTACGTATCTATAGTTGAGGCCACACTTTTATTTCTGGTACGTTGAAAAATGCTATTTGTAGAAGTTTGTTGTATCCTGCCGCTTTTAGCTCATTAATCATTTCCTCACGTAATCCAATGCTTATGCTGATGAAAAACGAAAAACACGGGGTAGAAACTGAATTCGTGAATTTGTGTCAGGAGATGTCCTTGAGTTCGGTGGGTGAGACAACAAAGGAAGCGTCAGATTCAGAGGGCATCAGCACTTCCTTTACTCAGTTCGAAGTCGAGATACCATTGGTGAATTACTTGAGCGGGCACTGTCTCTGAGAGCAGCATCAGTGCTCTAAGCAAATGGAACAGAGTCATGGCAGTAGGTAAGGCGCACTGCAAACTCGCTCATACACACTCTTGTTGCGCTCAGAAGTACAGAGCTAGTTCACACAGAGTTAGACTGCAGCGCGATGCACCTACCATTCGCGATTGAGCTACTAATTCGAAGTACGGCTAGCTTCTACAATGGGATCGACCCAGTTCGACGATTTTACCGAAAAGTCAGTTGGGCTTTGTGGTCGTCTTTTGCCATTTTTAGACCACACTTTGTGGGGATGTTGAGCGCACCGAGACGTGTAGGCGCACCAAAGTCACGGGCACCAGGGCTACAGGCCCGCGAAGTGGTAATTCGAGGGGTATTTAGTGAAGGGATCGACCTAATTCGACGATCTCACCAGAAAGTCACTTTGGGCCTTGTAGGTGCTCTTTGCATTTTTAGACCACACTTGTGGGGATATGAAGCGCAGAGACGTGTAGGCCATCAAGTCACGGGCACGCAGGGCTAACAGGCCCGCGAAGTGGTAATCCTTCGAGGTAATTTAGTGAGGATCGACCTCATTCTGACGATCTGCACCAGGAAGTCAGCTAGGGGGGGGGGGGGGGGGGGGTGGCCTTGTAGGTGCTGCTTGCATTTTTAGACCACCACTTGTGGGCATTAAGCGCAGAGACGTGTAGGCCCTCCAAGTCACGGGCACCAAGGCTACGGGCCCGCAAAGTAGCCGAAGTGGCAACCCCGAGGGGTATTTAGTGAAGGGTACATTTATCATATGAGTTCACTCTTATCATGCTTCGTGGATAGTGTCCGGAGAATTGCCACACATCGTGTAAGAGGCTCAATCGCCTGAGCGAGTCCACTTCTAATGCAGTGATACAGCAACGCTGTCCTGTAGATTAACAGACATAAACAAACAGATAAAGTAAGATTTAAAGTAAATTGAAAAATATATTTGCAGGTATCTGCCATTGGTATTGTTTCCAATCTTGTTTCATTTCTTGTAATGCTCCGTCATCGAACATTTAAAAGCTCGTTTGGACTACTTGGCACTTGCTATGCTCTGACAAACGCATTCATTCTGATAATTTTTGCTGTATGGGCTGCTCCGTGGACAATTTGGTAAGCTGCCGCTGACCAAAGAGATCGTATCCCAATTTCACTGCACAGCCTCATTTTCTACTATTAGGTTATCCCCATTCAAAAAATATAGGGGAATGGCAGAAAAGCAAAGGGGATAGAGCAGCGGGCTACTGTACCATTTGGAAGCTAACCTTTAGCTGTTTTATCTTTGAACTTTGGCGGACCTACCCACAGAAGAAGTTCTCAAGAAATTGAAAAGAAGCCCGAGTGGTGAAAATCGGCGCCGGTTTTTCAAATCAGACGTCATAAGAGGAAAGTGCGCTGCTCAAATTTGACCTGCGCCGGACCAGTAGTTGTGTGTAATGGTGTTCTCGAAATACAAGGTGGAAGGTTTGGTTCAGGAGCCCGAAGAAGGAAGAAAGGAAAAAAAATTGTTGTCGTGGATGGTCCCATAATGTTCATCCTGTACAAGAAAAGAAAAAAGGGTGGATGAAGTCAAGCGCAGAATGTCTGATTACAGAGCGTGGACATTTGTCGAGTCTCACCGCGAGACTGACATCACTGCTGAAACTGCTGCCCGAGTTATAAACTGAGGATGGTCAAGGGGGTGTGCGCATGGGTACCTCATTTTCTTATAGAAGCATGAACGCAGTACCGATTCTATACCTCTAGCAGTAATGTTCTCAGCATGAGTGCATGAGATGTCATTCACGACTGTGGAAAAGCACCGCGGCACTGTGGCTTTCAAGCGGCTCTATACAGAGAATAAAATCGTCGCTGTTGGTGTATATTGCCTGTTCCCGGCAATCAGATCGACAAATGGATGATACCACACAACTACAAGAAGGCCACCGTTGCTCGTGATAGTGCCAGACCCCTGAGCAATTGTATTGTAGGGCAGTGCTGGGACACAAACAATAGAGACGATGAGACGTGGGTTCAATCGCCCCATTCGCCCGTCATAAAGCCGTGCGATTACAACTGTTCTATTCAGTCGAGAGTACTCTCCGACGGCAATGTTTTGTCATTTGCCGAAGTTGGCATCAACAGCAGTTTACTCACACTTGTTAAAATCGAAGGTACCAGAGGCACGCCATTGCGTTGTGATCATTTCCTGAAAAATACGACCCCCCCTAATTCCATCCTCAAGTACGACCCCCTCCCCATGCTACCTTCCACTTTCCTAGATTCTCCCAACCTCCTACCACTTTGCCCATTTTTTCCCAAAAAATCTCTGGTTTTTTTACAAAATTTTGCTGTCGAGCGGGGGGGGGAGGTCGCAGTACGTCCCAAGCACGTCCAGCACTCTGGCGCTGGTGTAGCATACTGACAATACGTACGAGGAAGGGGCGATGGTAGGAGCTACGATGACCGCCCACAAGGGCACCATATCTATAAATAAACCAAAGGACTCACGACGTGACGATCAATAAACAGATGAAAGTACATTTTCAGACCTTTCTGATCGCAGGAACACATGTGCTTGCGCTTAGGAAGCCCTATCTAGAAGTTGCACCTTCCCAACACCTCTGCCTGAAAGCCCTATGCATGGCGCATTGCAGAGGTGATGCCAATAGAGCCCAATTAACTAAGATTCCTTAAGAGTTAAGAGTTAATTATAACCTGATATAATTAACGAAAACATGCGTGTTAGAAGCATGCCAAAGTGTTCAAGTCAACTGGAGGTTTCATGGCCTCGGAGGGGTTGATTTTTCGTGTCGTGGGGGAGTGATCACGATATGATCACAACGGGGGATTTTTTCGAATAGCAGGCCTAGGGAGAAAATCAAAGTTTCGCTGGAAAGCAGAAAGCTTCATGCTTCCGGCACAGTTCTTTTTTTACCGAAAGGATTGTATGAAGCTTGCCATGGATGTCCAAATCGTAGCGACTTGTGTGGCCCCCTTGATCACAAGAGGATCACAACGGAGAAAAATTCCTAGAGAAGAAAAGTTTTGAAATCCCCCATACTCAGGTAAGAAGAGCCAACCTAGCACTCATTCCTACTTTCCACTCTCCGAGGGCTTTACTTTCAACGAAGTTATGGGTGTTCAAAACGAGGTGTTCGGCTTGAAAATGGATCCAGATCGTAAAATAGCGCGCACCAATCCTTGTATTAGCGCTTAGGGATCGCACTTCGCTTGCACTCCTCGCGTGCGGCTGACCGCGAACAACTAGCATGCATTGCCTACGATTATGATGATTTACTTCATCTCTCTTGTTCATCTTCATCTCTTGTCTGGCCCTCGTCATCATCTTCGGCTTTTGTTTGCAACACCTGAATCTGGTTTTAGTCGTCGTCGTCCCACTCGTAAGTTTAAAGTATTTCTATGGCTTTGGAGCAGGAATCGCGCCGAACTGAAGGAACAACACGCGATTTTGTTTATTTGATTTCCTTAACTTTTTCATTTATGCTTTATTTACATCTGCATTCGTTGTTCGTTCTAGCCTTTGTCATCTTCATCACCCCCTATTCGGACTGAAGCATGAGCAACACCTCAAATGTTATTCGCATCAAGAAATTGCGTTTTGCTCATACATACTAAAACTAACGTGGGACGCTTAGGCCGTTTGTATTGTCATGTTCTGTGGGAATGCGCGGCCTCTGAGGGATATTGCAGAAACAGCACAGTTGCTCTTGAGCTGGCCCTCGTCATCATCTTCAGTTCTTATTTCAGAACCAAGATGTTACCCCCATAAAGAAATTGCGTTGTACTTGTATTCCAAAGCGCAATTACAGGACTTGGCAAAAAGCCAAGAGAGCTGCACGCGACCGCGCCGCGCGGACGGTGTTAGTAAAAACGTGAGTTTGCAAAAACGGGCGGCGTAGCAAGGAATTACGACTTTCCCACGGTCCCGTACTCTGACCCCGTGCAGTTTTGGGCGGGGGACCACGACACATCGACAGCTGGGGGCTGATAGTCTCATACACCCTCAATGTGTTTAAGCGTACCATGTGTCTTTAAGGCACTCTGTCAAACATCCTTATCAGTACCTCTGCAAAAACCTTAATAGAGCTCATCAAACAAGTAATAGTAAACCATACTGTCACAACACTTTCAGGGACATCCCGAGTGATTTGCAATATTTAAATAGGCGCATGGGCCAACTGTCGCACACTTTCTTCGAAGCAGCGATTCTCTGTGACGTATTTATTTCTTTGAACAGGTTGGCTCTGTCTCTTGAATAATTTTTACAAGATAGCAACAATAGGTGAAGTTTCAAAGTGGTAATCCACCAAATAGCCTGGAAAACATGGGCTGACACGACCCCACTGGTTTCCTTTCGAGTTGTACACTTTGCACCACCGGACAGGGCTCATCATCTGCAGTGAGCTATCCAATAGCTTCCATCAAGCATTTCTCCTTGGCTTAGACGCGCGTCCGAGACACGAGTATCTGGTAAGGATTGATTATACCAAATTCTCACAATATAGACTTTATTGTTGTCACTGTTTATTCCCCTATCAAAAAATTTATCTATGTCACACCAAAACAGTTGAACAGGTTCCTCATTATTTCATGCTTTTATAAAAAAATTCCTAATGTTGCAATGTTCACCTGCAGGCTATCAGCGATCACTTTTCCGATGTACTATAGTAAAATTTTTACAATTAAAGCTACTTACGGCATTCTTGTATTTATCTTTGTTATTGCTCTGCTCTACGCGGCCGTCTTCTTCATAGGTAGTAGCTTTGACGATGCTCATGTTAATGAAGCTTATTTTACCATGTACACTGCATCGCATAATGATATTTAGAATTCTTAAACTTACAAAAACTCCAGGAGAAGGTCTCTACAGAGAAGTTGTATTGAACACTAATGCAAGCTCCGTGTATGCACCAAGCTTCGAACTCAGGAAGGCAAAAGGAACTTCTTTTCCAAATCAGACAGAAACACTCTGTCCTTACCGCTAGCTCAGAACACCATAAAGTAAATAATTGTCGACTCTCTAAATAGGGCGAATTCTTGCCAAAGGAAGTAAGGATAGCAGAATTGTCAACGCGCGAGCGAGAGCGAAATAACCTGATAATTGGCACTCCATAAAAGGGTATTATGGTTCTACCAAGGTGTGATAGGAGATGAGCATTCCGCGACATATTCAACTTTGTACAGCCTTGAATTTAACCATCCAATTTTCAACTAAAATAACTGTGCGTGGCATTTGGGTTTGGACTGTTCCAACACCGTACCAATGCGGAGGGTGCCACGTCAGAGCCTGGCGAGCTACGCGTGGTCAAATTTCTTCTCGCCGAAAACAGTAATAATTATGGGCCTCATTCCCCTGAACCTGAGGGAACCACCGACAGGGCGACGTCGGCTGGGCTGCAAGAATCACAGGGCCAACGGAGATTTAAGTCGCCCAGGACTAGGATGACGATCTGTACTTTCAACGCACGCTTGCATCGGAAGCTCACATCGAAGATCTGATGTTGCAAGCCAGGAAGATCAAGTACGACGTCATCGGACTGACCGAGACGAGGAGGCATCGCCCGCTACACGCCGTATACGAGACTGGAGAAGAACTGTTCCTCGGAACATGCGACAGCAGAGGCGTTGGCGGTGTGGGCGTCCTCGTCAACACGCACTTGGCCATGAACATCGATTCGTACGAAAATCTGACGACCCGAATCGGACGTTTGCGATTGAGAAGATGTGGTTCAACTCCAGCTTTGACAATCTTCGTCGCCTACGCACCAACATCAAGCTACGACGAGGATGAGCTCGAAGCGTTCTATATGGAATTGG